TTTATGATGGAGGCACATAGTATGCAGAAGACTTTTGTGCAGTTTGGTTCAACTGTGATGTTTCATTGTTGTTATTGTACTCATTTCCAAGATATCTGGCTAAAAATTTAGTCTTGCTGGGTATGGTGATGCACACCTTTAATCCCAGCATCCCAGAGGCAATGGCACACAGATCTCTGTGAGTTTGAGGCCAGCCAGAGAAAGAATTGATTTACACAAGCAATACCTGAGTTAATTTTTTCAGGGTTCAGTGACGTTCAGAGACGTGGCTGTAGACTTCTCACAGGAAGAATGGGAATTCCTGGACTCTGCCCAGAAGGACTTGTATAGGGACGTGATGTGGGAAAACTACAGTAACTTCATCTCACTGGGTGAGTTTACCTCTCAGAGCATTAGCTTGCTGTCCTGCTGAGTTCAGGCTGTATTTTCAGAAACACCACATTTTTACCCTCTATTGGTAGATTCTGTTTTGTGTAACAGACCAATTCCATTCTACCTGTTCTACCTTCATAGGTTAACATCTGGGCTGGGGGTGTGGCTCAGTGATGGAGCACTAGCCAAGATGACTTAGGCTCTAGGTTTTATCCCCAGTACCACACAAATAAATGAAGCTAAAAATCAGGGGCTGTAGAGGTGGCTCAGTAGTTAAGAGCACCGACCGCTCTTGCAGAGGACCCGGGTTCGATTCCCAGCACCCACATAGCGGCTACAAACCATCCTTAACTCCAGATCCAAGGGAATCCAAAGCCCTTTTCTGACCTCCAAGGCATTGCAGGACATGGGTGCACTCACATGCAGGCAATACACTCATACACATAAAATAAAAATAATTTAAAAAAAAAGAAGCTAGAAATCTAGGAATTTGTGTTGAACACGCAGCGAATCTCCTGGAATCTGCAAATGCCGAGGGAAGCTGCTCACTCTCTCCGCCCACTGATCACAGTTCAAATGGGTAGACAAAGATACATACCATGTGTTCATAAACATCATTGCATACACTTGTGCTTAGATACTGTCCTGAGTTAGCAGTGTTACCATCTCACAACAACTCTATGAGAGAAATACTGTTATCCTTATTTCAGGTGAGAACACTCAGGCACAAGTGGTGACCATTTTCTGAGGAGAGGATTGTGGAGATGGCTTAGTGGGTAAAGTGCTTGCTTTATAAGGGTGAGGACCTGAGTTCAAGTCCCCAGAACACACCTAAAGCTGGCTGTGGTAGTGCACATCTATAGTCCCAGCAGTCCTGTACTGAGAGGGAAGGCAGAGAGTGGAGCATGCCCAGAAGCTGGCAGGCCAGCTACCCTGGTAGATGCATCAGCAAACAGCAAAACACCCTGTCTTCAATCAAGGTGAAATGCTAAGCCCAGTGTCTGAGGGTGTTCTCTGACTACCACACAGGTGCTGTGGCGTGTGTGTGCTCACACTTATGAGAATGTGCACACATTATTTACTGAGGCAACATAGTAAGCAGGCACGATTTGCAGCAGTCTGTACCCAGAGTCATTGCACTGTGCGATCTCATCACAGACCCTGAGATCAGTTACATTAAGGTCTTTTCTGAGTCTGGCATTTATCTTTGTAATTTTTTTGTTTGTTTTGTTGGTCTTTTTGAGACAGGGTCTCCCTGTACCCTAGCTGGCGTAGATTTGCTATGGAGACCAGGCTGGCTTCGAACTCACAGAGATCCACCTGCCTCTGGGACTAAAGGTGTATGCCACGGCTATTCTTTGTAATCTTAAAGTTTCCCTAAAATGGTTGTTCTTAAGCTATCTTGAATTTATAACTTAAAATTTTTTTTTATTTTATGTATATGAGAGTTTTGCCTACATGTGAGTTGCAGGTGATTGTAAGCTACCATGTGGGTGCTGGGAACCAAATCCTCGGTCCTCTGCAAGTGTAATACGTGCTCTTAAACCCAGAGCCATCTGTCCAGCATTTATTTATGCTTCTATTTATAAATGCTCTTACATTTATTTACTTATTTATTTATAAAGTTATTTATTTATGAATGCTGTTGCATTTATTTATGCTTCTATTTATAAAGTGTCATTTTGGAGCCAGATTTGGTGATAATCCCACCACTCAGAAGGCTAAGAGGAAGATTACCTGCTTTCAAGGCCAGGATGGACTGTGAATTGAGATCCAGGCCAGCCTGGGCTACAACAAGTGCCATTTTAACCTAAAATTAACTGTAAATATAATGAAATCTGAAGATAAGGATATTTCAATTTATAATTTTATTTGACTTTTTTTTTTTAAAGCAGGACCTTCCATTTCTAAGAGAAATATGGTCACCTTATTGGATGAAGAAGGGAAGGAACCTGAGATGGTGGTGAAGGAAGGGAAAAGAAGACCCTGTTCTGGTGAGTGAGGGCTGCGCAGGCATGAGGAAGCCAGTCCTGTGGTGTTCCCTCAGCTCTCTAGCGTGGAGTACGCTGAGGGGTTATCGGGGAGTTCCTCCAAGGCCTGGGCCTGAAAGGAGACTTGAGACCTGAATTTAAATTCAGATTAAAAAATAGTGTGTGTGTGTGTGTGTGTGTGTGTGTGCGTGCGCGCGTGCGTGTGCTTTACATGTGTGCACACATGTAAAGGTCAAAGGACAAGTTTGTGGAGTCAGTTTTCTCCTTCCTTTCTGTGGGTTCTGGGGATTGAACTGAGGTCAGGCTTCCATGGCAAGGGCTTTTCCCTGCTGAGCCATCTCCCAGGCCCAAATTAAGACCTTTTAAGCCTCAAGTAGCAAAACAGCTTTCTCTTGTGGGCACTAGAATTCAAACCCTGGTCTCCTGCAAGGAAAACCAGTGTTCTTAACCACTAAGCCATCTCTCCACCTAGTTAGTATTGCTTTTCAACTTCCCTATTTCCTTCACATTTCAAAGAGAAGCTGTTTCAGTAGGAGGGGGAAAATGATAATAAATACAAGAACAGAAATCAACAAAATAGGGAACAAAAAAAGGAGATTAATTAAAGGCAAAACTTGAAGTAAACTCTATTGAAAAGATGAACAAAGAGATAGTCAGACTGACAGATACTATCAGGATGGAAAGAAGGTGTTTCCCTTCACACTGTAGATATCAAAAGACAAAAGAAAATTCTATGAATAACTTTATGCCAGTAAATTGATAGTTTAAGTGAAATGGAAAAATTCCTTAAAAAATACATTTTGACTGGGTGTGGTGGTGCACGCCTTTAATCCCAGCACTAGGGAGGCAGAAGCAGGTGCATCTCTGTGAGTTCAAGGCCAGCCTGGTCTACATAGTAAGTTCCAGGTCAGCTGGAGCTACAGGGAGACCCTGTCTCAAAAAGACAAAAAAACAAACAAACAAAAACATTTTGCCTGACAAGATTAAAAAACAAAGCAAAACAAAACAAAAACTATATCTATCAAAGTAACTGAGTTCATTATGAAAAATTTTTTGTAAAGAAAATGTCAGGTCCCACTGTTTTTGGTGGTGAATTTCTGTTAAAAATGTGAGGAAGCTGGGTGTGGTGGTGCCTTTAATCCCAGCACTTGGGAGGCAGAGGCAGGCAGATCTCTGTGAGTTTGAGGCCAGCCTGGTCTACAAAGTGTGTTCCAGGACAGCTGGGGCTACAGGGAGACCTTGTCTCAAACAGGGTGCACCCAAATACATGCACATCCCCTGGGTCCTCTGCAAGAGAAGCCAGTGCTCTTAACCACTGAGCTATCGCTCCAGCCCTGCAAGCACTTGAGTCATCTCCCCACCTCCTCTTTGTTTTGTTTTTTTTTTAAGACAAGGTTTCATGTAGTCCAGGCTGTCCTTGTGCTCATTATGTAGCCAAGGGTGGTCTTGAACTTCTGATCCTCCTGCTTCCATCTCCTGAGTGCTTAGACAACAGGCATGTGCCACCATACCTAGTGTAGTGTTTACTTTTTTGTGTGTCATTTTGAGACAGGGTCCCCCTGTAGCCCCAGCTGTCCTGGAACTTGCTATGTAGACCAGGCTGGCCTCGAACTCAAAGAGATCCGCCTGCCTCTGCCTCCCGGTCTTTACTTTTTTTTGAGGAGTCTCTCTATTGCCCATGCTGGCTTCTAGCAACTGTTGGGATCAAGTGATTCATCTCCCTTAGCCTCCCCAGTAGCTGAGACTCTAAGCTTGCATGTTAGTTTTCTTTCTTGTTTGTTTTGGAGATGGTCTCACTTTGTAGCCCAGGCTATCCTGGAACTTATTGTGTAGCTCAGGCTGGCTTGAACTTGCAGTGGTCCTTTTGCTTTAGTCTCCAAGTGCTGGGATCACAGGTATGAGCCTGTTTATTTTCACCTGGGATGCCCCAGCACCTGAAGTAATGTCTGCATTGAAGTGGACTTTAGCCATACCGAGGACTTTACCCCTGACACAGCAGCTATTATATTTGTAGGGTCCTACTAGGGTCTGGTTAAGTGGTCCACTCCTACTTGATTTTTCCATGAAACAAGTTGTTTTTGATGCGTAATATTTTGCAGATGTGGGTTTTTGAGTATAAGTGTGTCCTTTTGTTGTTGTTTTGTTTGAGACAGGGTCTCCCTGTGGCCCCAGCTGGTCTGGAACTCACTTTATAGACTAGGCTGGCCTTGACCTTGCGGAGATGGACCTGCCACCATACCAGGCTTGTATATGTAGTATTTCATCAGAAATGCCTGTCTGAGGGAGATGAGGTTCATCATTTGGAATGGGCATTACTTTAGATGCTGTGGAGTTTTCTTTCTTCTGGAACAGGGAAACCACATGTGTTTGCCTTTGTGTTTTCTTTCAGATCTCGAGTCTAGATTCAAGACCAACAGTTTCTCTCCAGAAAAGGACATTTATGAAGTATATTCATTACAGTGGGAGATGATGGAGAGGATTCAAAGCTGTGGCCCCCAGGGCTCAAGTTCTAGACGTGATTGGGAACGTGAAAGCAAGATTGAGACCCAAAAAGCCCCACAGCAGGGCTGCTTCGGGCAGTTGAAAATCACCTCTGGAAAAGTAATCACGTACAGAAAGCACAGTTTCCTCACTGAGTATCAGAAAGTTCATAATGGAGAAAAATTTTATGAATGTAAAGAATGTAGGAAGACCTTTATCCGCCGCTCCACACTTAGTCAGCACCTGAGGATCCACACTGGTGAGAAACCTTATAAATGTAAGGAATGTGGGCAAGCCTTCAGACAGCGGGCTCACCTTATTCGACACCACAAACTTCATACTGGTGAGAAACCCTATGAGTGCAAGGAGTGTGGGAAGGCCTTTACAGTGCTCCAGGAACTCACTCAGCATCAGAGACTTCATACGGGTGAAAAACCTTACGAATGCAAGGAATGTGGGAAGGCTTTCCGAGTACACCAGCAGCTGGCCCGCCACCAGAGAATCCATACCGGGGAGAAACCTTATGAATGCAAGGACTGTGGGAAGACCTTTAGACAGTGTACACACCTCACTCGACACCAAAGACTTCATACTTCTGAGAAGCTCTATGAATGTAAAGAGTGTGGGAAAGCCTTCGTGTGTGGCCCAGACCTTAGAGTACACCAGAAAATCCATTTTGGCGAGAAACCCTATGCATGTAAAGAATGTGGAAAGGCCTTCAGAATATGCCAACAGCTTACTGTCCATCAGAGCATTCACACTGGGGAGAAGCCCTACGAATGTAAGGAATGTGGCAAGACTTTTAGACTCAGGCAACAGCTTGTTCGCCATCAGAGAATTCATACCCGTGAGAAGCCCTATGAGTGTGTGGAATGCTGGAAGACCTTTAGTAGCTATTCCCAACTGATTTCCCACCAGAGCATCCATATTGGTGAGAGACCCTATGAATGTGAAGACTGTGGGAAAGCCTTCAGGCTGCTCTCTCAGCTTACTCAGCATCAGAGTATCCACACTGGTGAGAAGCCTTATGAATGTAAGGAATGTAGGAAACCTTTTAGACTGCTCTCCCAACTCACCCAGCATCAGAGCATTCACACTGGTGAGAAGCCTTATGAATGCAAAGAATGTGGGAAGGCCTTCAGACTTTATTCATTTCTTACTCAACACCAGAGGATTCACACTGGTGAGAAGCCCTACAAATGTAAGGAGTGTAAGAAGGCCTTTAGACAGCACTCCCACCTCACTCAACACCAGAAGATTCATAATGGAACTTAATACGAGCTAACATTCAGATGTATGTTGTATTGGAAAAATCGGGAAATCCGTTTTTTTAGAATAATTTATTTCATGCTTTAACTAAGCATAAGAGATTTTATACTAGAGAAAGACTTAGGTTGTTTTAAAGCCCTCTATCCTGATTTACATGTTTACTTTCAAAGTCCTATGAGAGGGTAACGTAATGACGGGAAGAGAGTTCAGTCTCGCCTATCTTTACCTGCATCCCTTTCTGCTGTGATACTGGACTGGATGCTAAAACTTTGTGCTTCGTTTTACTCACTTGTAAAATGTTAACAGTAGTTATCTATGTTAGTTATTTATTGCTCTGTAACAAATTAACAGAAAAACAGTAGTTTAAATAGTATACACTTATTATCTCAAAATTCCTGTGGATCAAGAGTCCAGGCCTGACTCAGCTGGGTCTGTGGGGTTTCATCCATGTCTCGGTTCTCATGTAAAGGCTTAACTAGGGAAGGCTCCACATCACAGCTAACTGGGGAGATGCCTGAATTGTTCCTTTGAGGACTTTGCATTGAAATCCTCAGTTTCTGGCTGGCTGGTGACCGAAGGCTGGCTGTAGTTCATGGCTGCACTGGCCACCCCAATGTGGCTGCTCCCTCACTCAAGTCCTGCCAGCCAAGGTGGCTACTAAGCACGGTGGGAGTCTACTCGCAAGACAAGTTACAATCCTGTGTAATCTAATTGCAAAAGTAACATCCCATCATTTTGCTACCTTCTACTGTTTAAAAGTAAGTTCTCAGACCAGCCTACACTCAAGAGGATTATGTGAAACTGAGCGTCAGGAGACAGGGACCAGCAGGGACCAATTTAGAGTCAGCCTGCCATGCTGCGTGATGGAATTGTTGGAAGAAGAAGTAGCAAACCCTTGAGTTCGCAGTCATGTAGCGTGTATTCTGTAAATAATGTCTAGGGTTGTTAGCATTAATATTGCACATTCTTCAGGAAGGTCCAGTAGAAGTAATAAATGTAGAAATGCCTCCAGTTCCGTCTCGGCACTTACCAAACCTGGAGGGAATTTATTCTAGGTAAAGCCTGGGAGATGAGAGTCAATGTAAGATGTTTGTCACTTGAGCTGCACCAGAAACTTGGTGATGAGAAGAAATTATGGATTTCACGAATGTAGGCTGTTAAAAATATAACTTAAAGAATCAGAGGGGAAATGACTTCCTCACAATTTAAAAAGAGCAAATTGTTTAGAATCTCTTCTCTGACCAAGTTCAAGATTAATCACAGTCTCAGAGATTGCATAAAAGAACTAGTCATTTGAGGATTTTGATGTATACACATATATAAACCTTATGTATAAAAGAAAACATTTCGTTGCACTCAGTATAACCATTTGATGCCCAAATTGACCTTCAGCCAGTGTTTCAGGTTGGGTCTTTCCATATGGCTCCACCAGGACTTTGATAATTTTCTTGGTTTATGGCTGCACAGTTTGCTTGCTCACCAGTTTGTCATTTTAAAATTTATTTGTGTGTGTGTGTGTGTGTGTGCCACAGCATATGAACAGGTCAGAGGATACCTTGTAATAGCTGGTTCTCTCCTTCCATCATGTGACTCCTGGGCATTGAACTCCGGTCCTATCAACCTTGACAGCAGCCCACTATACCCCAACTTACTCTTTAAAATTAAAAAAAAATTATTTTATGTGTATAACTGTATTGTCTGCATGTATGTAAGTGCACCCATGTTGTACAATGCCCTCAGACGTCAGAAGAGGGCCTTGGATCCCCTGGAACTGGAGTAAGACAATTGGTAGCCATCATCTGGGTGCTGGGAATCGAGCCTAGGTCTTCTGCAAGAGCAGCCAGTGCTCTTAACCGCTGAGCCATCTCCAGCCCCTCAACGTATCACTCTTAAATTGGGCAAATAAGAGAACAGATGAACATCTATTTTCCTCTTTTCTATTTTTCTTTTTTCCATGGCAACAAATGTTAATCAAATTCAAGTGTTTTTTTTTGTTTTTTTTTTGGTCTTTTTGAGACAGGGTCTCCCTGTAGCCTCAGCTGGCCTGGAAGTCACTATGTAGACCAGGCTGCCCTTGAACTCACAGAGATCCACCTGCCTCTGCCTCCCGAGTGCTGGGATTAAAGGCGTGTGCTACCACACCTGACTCAAGTGATTTTTTTTAAAATAAAGCTTTATTTTTATTTATGTTTACGTGTGTGTTTGCACGTGTACCACATGCATTCCTGGTGCCTGCAGAGGCCAGAAGAGGGTGTCAGATCTCCTGGAACTGGAGTTACAGATGATTGCGAGCCATCATGTGAGGGCTGGGAAGTGAACCCAGGTCCTCCGAAAGCAACAAGTGCTCTTTACCGTTGAGCCGTCCCTCCAGTCCTGTGATTTTTTTAAAAAATAAGTTCAGGGCTGGAGAGATGGCTTAGCGGGTAAGAGCACTGACTGCTCTTGCAGAGGACCAGGGTTCAATTCCCAGCACCCACATGGCAGCTACAAACCGTCCTTAACTTCAGTTCCAGGGGAATCCGAAGCCCTCTTCTGACCTCCATGGCATTGCACGACACAGGTGCACTCACATACATGTAGGCAATACACTCATACACATAAAATATTAAAAATTAGTTCGGGCCGGGTGTGGTGGCGCACGCCTTTAGTCCCAGTACTTGGGAGGCAAAAGCAGGTGGATCTTTGTGAGTTCAAGGCCAGCCTAGTCTACATAGTTCAGGTCAGCTGGGACTACAGGGAGACCCTGTCTCAAAAAGACAAAAAAAAAAAAACAAAAAACAAAAAAAAAACCCCACAAAAGTTCAACCAGCAATTACAGGAAAAATGATTAAAATTGGGGGAAAAAATGAAAACCACCATTTTCTGGACTCCAATGGAATAATGGGTCCAGAAAATGCTCTGTGAATTCTAAGACTGTCATGTAAAGGACTTCATAGTGGGCTTATCAAGTTGAGGACTTCTAAACCCTTTGATCAATTTCACCTCAATAAAAACAGGATGATATCCACAGTCGATATCCACTTCCTGATACAGTGCAATAGGAAATAACAGACCATTGACCATGAATTCTTCCTGTCAAAATAACAACTAAGAAGCCATGCCTTTCAATCAAATTCTTCAAAACCAGCAGTTTTGGGAATAGATGGATAAAGTAAATGCATCAGAGTGAAGCAGCCAGTTAGACCCAGTGTGTGTACAACTGTAGAACAGCCTGACTTTGTTAGCTGAGTGCATTGAGGAAGAGGGGACGCATTGTTAATAGCAAAGCTGACTTAAGAGACCAACTGAAGTGTGTGGGCATTGCTTTTATATCATTTGAAAAAAAAAAACATTTTGGAGGCAGGAGAGGAAGTATGGACATGGATGGAGTTCAGAACAACTAAGTTTTGTCAGGAATGATATTAAAGTGGTCACTAAAGAGAAAATGCCCTGTATATTAGAGATAGATATTTCTGGGGGCTGGAGAGATGGCTCAGCAGTTAATACTGGTGGTTCTTGCAGAAAACCCAGGTTTGAATCCCAGCACCACACGGCAGCTAACAACTGTCGTAACTCCAGTCCCAGGGGATCCGACAGCCTCTTCTGACCTCCTTGGGCATTGCACAACACAGGTGCACCTACCTACGTGCAGGCAATACACACATACACATAAAAATATTTACCAAAAAAAAAGGATATTTCTGAAATAAGATATACCGATGTACATTACCAGAGAGCCAAGTGTGGTGGTACATACATGTAATTCGGGCACTCAGGAAGCTGAAGCAGGGTTGCTTGTTGAAGGCTAGCCTGGACCACTAGTGAGGACATGTTTAAAAAACGGCAGAAGAAAAGGAGTTGACAGCTAGTAGCTAGATTGACAAAATGGTCATTTCTTAGATGGAGGAGTTTGTTCATGGAGGGCCGTTGTTCCATTTCTGCTTTTGCATGTGTTTGAAATTCCAATAATATTTAAAAAATCAAAATTAGAAACTATTTGAAAATGAATGATGATGAGATGCCTGTGTTGTAGGCATTTTCTCCCTCTATTGAGAAGATCAAGTGATTTCTGTCCATGATGTCATTAATATGATAAATTACATTTACTGATTTACATTTGTTGAACCATTCCTGAGTCTCTGGAGTGAAGCCAACTTAATCACAGTGTTGATCTTTTTGATGTATTCTTGAATTCAGTTTGCAAATATTTTATTGAGGTTTTTTTAATATTCATTAAGGAAATCGGTCTGCCTCCTCTTCTGTGATGTTCCCTGAGCCTTGGAGGGGGTTATCGGAGTTGACAAAGATATCTTATTTAGGGCTGAGCACGCCGTCTCTTAGTCTCAGCACTTTGACCAGTTATGTCTCTCTACGTTGACCGCTGCCCACTATAAAAGAAGCTTCTTGACTAAGGTTGAGAGCAGCAACTGTCTATGGATAGAAACATAAATATTTAGAAGGTAATTTGAAAACATGGTCATTTAACAAAATAACAATAGCTGTGAGTTCTACCTTAGGGTCTATAACCCCTCCAGCCATGGGCTTTTGACTAGACTTACAGTACCAGGCATGGAATTCCCTGCTGTGTAGCAGGCTTTAAATCCAATCAAAGAGCAGTTGGTTACCTACTAACATTGTGCCACTTTTGCACCAGTGAGCATATGTTCCCTGGCAGGTAGGTGTTGTAGCATTCCGGGTCCAGCTGTCTTTTGGAGCAGCCTTGTCCATCCATATGCTCCATTTGAACATCTCAAAAAAATTTTTTTTGCTATGTAGACCAGGCTAGCCTCAAACTCAGAGATCCAGAGATCTGCCTGCCTCTGCCTCCTAAGTGCTGGGCATGGTGGTACAGGCCTTTAATCAGTACTTGGGAGGTAGAGGAAGGCAGATCTCTGTGAGTTTGAGGCCAGCCTGGTTTACATAGCGAGTTCCAGGCCAGCAGAAGTTATGGGAGACCCTGTCTCAAAAAGACTAAAAAAAGTTTTTTTGAATTTTGTTGAAATTACTAATTAGTGGGTTTCCATCTGGCTTTTTCACACATCCTTTGTTTTGTTTTTGTTAACCCACCCATCATCCCAAGGCCCCATTAAACCCTAGTACTCCCCCCTCACCTTTCATTTCCTTTGTATCCTACTACCCTTCCTTACTGTTATTTAAAAAAAAAATTAAAAAATTCCTATCCTCCATTATCCTTATTGTTATTTTAAAAAAATTAAAAAAAAATTTTTGGTCGTTTTGAGACAGGGTCTCCCTATTGCCCCAGCTGTCCTGGAACTCACTATGTAGACCAGGCTGGCCTTGAACTCACAGAGGTCCACCTGCCTCTGCCTCCCAAGTGCTGGGATTAAAGGTGTGCACCACCACACCCAGCTTATTTTTTTTAATTTTTATTTATTTATTTTACTTTAAAAATGTATTGAATTTCATACATGCATATAAGGTGTTTAGATCAAATCCATGCCCACTCCCTCCCTATTTTTAACATTTTGTTTTTTTAATATATATATTTTTAAATTTTACTTTATGTGTATTGCCTGCAAGTATGTAAGTATGTGTAATGCTGTGGAGGCCAGAAGAGGGTGCTGGATCCTCTGGAACTGGAGTTACAGACCGTTGTTAGCCGCCATGTGGGTGCTGGGATTTGAACCCCAGTCCTCTGCAAGAGTAGTCGGTGCCAATGGCTAAGCCATCTCTCTCCAGCCCCAATTATTATTACTATTTTTGAGATTAGGGTCTCCCTGTAGCCTCAGCTGGCCTCAGTCTCACAGGCATTCACCTGTCTCCGCTTCCCAAGTTCTGAGATTAAAGATGTACACCACTGTACCTGGCTAGAGATGAAATCTTAAAGTAGTTTTAATCTGTGTACCCATGATGGCTAAGGACATTCACTTTTAAAAAGTGCTTAGATATTTGTATCTCTTTGGAGAGTTTTCTGTTCAGTTCCATGGGCCGTTTTTTAATGGGGTTATTTATTTCCTTAATGTTTAGCTATTTGTGTTCTTTGTGTATTCTAGACATTAATCCTCTGTTGGGTGAGTAGCTGGCAAGGATTTTCTCTGTGTGGACTGTCTATTCATTTAAGCTTACGGCTTCATAAGATTCCATTTGTTGGTTGATGGTCTAATTTCCTGCATTACTGGAGTCTTTAAAAAATTCCACTCATGCTGAGTGAGCGTGGTGGTGCACGCCTTTAATCCCAGCACTCTGGAGGCAGAAGCAGGCAGACCTCTGTGAGTTCGAGGTTGGCTGGGTCTACCTAGTAAGTTCCAGCACAGCTTGGGCTACAGGGAGACCCTGTCTCAAAGACACAAAAAAATTCCACTCAGAGAGAGAGAGAGAGAGAGAGAGAGAGAGAGAGAGAGAGAGAGAGAGAGAGAGAGAGAGAAAGAGAAATTCACTCATGCCATGGCATGTGGCAACATGAGTTAATTCTCTCCCTCCATCATGTGGGTCCCAGGGGTCAAATTCATATCGTCAGGGTAGGCAGCAAGCAAGTGTCTTTACTGGCTGAGCCATCTTGTTGGCCTACTACTGAAGACTTATTTAGAAAGTCCTTGATCTTTTGTGCCTTTATATACATTTTTGAATTGTTTTTTCTGTCTGTGAAGAATGTCTGTGTCCACCAGTAGGACAGCCCATGGGACCTGAAAAGATTATCACAGAACTGAGAAAAAGCAGAGGACTCCGGTGATTTCTGATAGGTAGAGAATGGGCGGGAGCGAGCGGCGCAGATGGAGGAGGCACGAGAGGATGAATGAGGCACGGAGGCTCAGATGGAATTCTCAGTGGACACAGATCTATTTCGCACCGGGCACCTTTCCCTCGGGAAGGGAAAGATGTCAGCTCACGGGTTGTGAGCTGGGACTTTACATATGGGGGCTTTAGGGTGTGGAAGGGGGGTGTTTGGGGGAGAAATCAGGGAGGGGGAAGCAGGTAGGATTAGGGTGTGGAAGTGTCTTCTTTTCCTCTTTAAGATAAGAGGAACTCTGCTTATCTTATATTTG